CACATCAAGGCATGTCACGTCATGAGTAACATTGCGATACATCCAGGAGATGAAGGCATATCACGTCATGAGTGACATTGCGATACATCCAGCACATCAAGGCATATCACATCATGAGTGACATTGCGATACATCCAGCACATCAAGGCATGTCACGTCATAAGTGACATTGCGATACATCCAGCACATCAAGACATGTCACATCATGAGTGACATTACGATACATCCAGCACATCAAGGCATGTCACATCATGAGTGACATTGCGATACATCCAGCACATCAAGGCATGTCACGTGATTAGTGACATTGTGATACATCCAGCACATCAAGGCATGCCACGTTATTAGTGACATTACGATACATCCAGCACATCAAGGCATGTCACGCCATGAGTGACATTGCGATACATCCAGCGCATCAAGACATATCACATCATGAGTGACATTTCGATACATCCAGCACATCAAGGCATATCACGTCATGAGTGACATTGCGATACATCCAGCACATCAAGGCATGTCACGTCATGAGTAACATTACGATACTTCCAGGAGATGAAGGCATATCACGTCATGAGTAACATTGCGATTCTACCAGCACATCAAGGCATATCACGTCATGAGTGACATTGCGATACATCCAGCACATCAAGGCATGTCACGTCATGAGTGACATTGCGATAAATCCAGCACATCAAGGCATGTCGCGTCATTAGTGACTTTGCAATACATCCAGCACATCAAGGCATGTCACGTCATGAGTGACATTGCGATACATCCAGCACATCAAGGCATGTCACGTCATGAGTGACATTGCGATACATCCAGCACATTAAGGCATGTCACATCATGAGTGACATTACGATACATCATGCAAATCAAGGCATGTCACATCATGAGTGACATTGCGATACATCCAGCACATCAAGGCATGTCACGTCATTAGTTACATTGCGATACATCCAGCACGTCAAGGCATGTCACATCATGAGTGACAGTACGATACATCTAGCACATCAAGGCATGTCACTCCATGAGTGACATTGCGATACATCCAGCACATCAAGGCATGTCACGTCATGAGTGACATTGCGATACATCCAGCACATCAATGCATGTCACATCATGAGTGACATTGCGATACATCCAGCACATCAAGGCATGTCACATCATGAGTGACATTACGATACATTCAGCACGTCAAGGCATGTCACATCATGCGTGACATTACGATACATCCAGCACATCAAGGCATGTCACATCATGAGTGACAGTACGATACATCCAGCACATCAAGGCATGTCACATCATGAGTGACATTACGATACATCCAGCACATCAAGGCATGTCACATCATGAGTGACATTGCGATACACCCAGCACATCAAGGCATGTCACGTCATGAGTGACATTGCGATACATCCAGCACATCAAGGCATGTCACGTCATTAGTGACATTACGATACATACAGCACATCAAGGCATGTCACGTCATTAGTAACATTGCGATACATCCAGCACATCAAGACATGTCACATCATGAGTGACATTGCGATACATCCAGCACATCAAGGCATGTCACGTCATGAGTGACATTGCGATACATCCAGCACATCAAGGCATGTCACGCTAAAGTGACATTACGATACATCCAGCACTTTAAGGTATGTCACGTCATGAGTAACATTGCGATACATCCAGCACATCAATGCATGTCACGCCATGAGTGACATTGCGATACATCCAGCACATCAAGGCATATCACATCATGAGTGACATTGCGATACATCCAGCACATCAAGGGATATCACGTCATGAGTGACATTGCGATACATCCAGCACATCAAGGCATGTCACGTCATGAGTAACATTGCGATACATACAGGAGATGAAGCCATATGACGTCATGAGTGACATTGCGATACATCCAGCACATCAAGGCATATCACGTCATGAGTGACATTGCGATACATCCAGCACATCAAGGCATATCACGTCATGAGTGACATTGCGATACACCCAGCACATCAAGGCATGTCACGTCATGAGTAACATTGCGATACATCCAGGAGATGAAGGCATATCACGTCATGAGTGACATTGCGATACATCCAGCACATCAAGGCATATCACATCATGAGTGACATTGCGATACATCCAGCACATCAAGGCATGTCACGTCATAAGTGACATTGCGATACATCCAGCACATCAAGACATGTCACATCATGAGTGACATTACGATACATCCAGCACATCAAGGCATGTCACATCATGAGTGACATTGCGATACATCCAGCACATCAAGGCATGTCACGTGATTAGTGACATTGTGATACATCCAGCACATCAAGGCATGCCACGTTATTAGTGACATTACGATACATCCAGCACATCAAGGCATGTCACGCCATGAGTGACATTGCGATACATCCAGCGCATCAAGACATATCACATCATGAGTGACATTTCGATACATCCAGCACATCAAGGCATATCACGTCATGAGTGACATTGCGATACATCCAGCACATCAAGGCATGTCACGTCATGAGTAACATTACGATACTTCCAGGAGATGAAGGCATATCACGTCATGAGTAACATTGCGATTCTACCAGCACATCAAGGCATATCACGTCATGAGTGACATTGCGATACATCCAGCACATCAAGGCATGTCACGTCATGAGTGACATTGCGATAAATCCAGCACATCAAGGCATGTCGCGTCATTAGTGACTTTGCAATACATCCAGCACATCAAGGCATGTCACGTCATGAGTGACATTGCGATACATCCAGCACATCAAGGCATGTTACGGCTGCCTGTAAATATTAAAATCCGGTTCAAGGATCAACTATCAGCGATGGACCCGATATCACACTGTCACTCAGCCGACACATTTTAACCAATCTATCCTCATCTTTCATCTGAATATGACATTGGTGATCAATTCAATTCACGAATTGCACCAAACATATCTTAATACATGAAGTGGCCGTTCTTCTGATTATTTCTCGGAACGGTTGTTTACCGTTACTATTTTTAACTTTGAAAGAACCTGAAAAAATTGAAGTCTTCTTACAGCATTTGATTCAAACCACTTCAGTCCTTGTTGCAATACGTGCACCACAACTCAAATCATCAGGCTTCTATGCATTTTTGTTTATCGGACATTTAATCATAAACTTGCACCTTCACATCTGTCCATCTGCCCGGGTAGATATTCCATGCTGCCCATGTTTCAGTAACATGTCTTATATAACCGTATGAATTATTTATTTTGTCTTAATATCAACAGATATGGATTTAAGGATTGAGTGACGGAGTTGGGTTTAACACCGCTTTTAACAATATTCCAGTTATGGGCGTGTCAGTTTAATGTGAGAGGAAAGCCCGAAGTGATGCAGGTCTCAGACGTTTACCACTTCGGTAAAACCCACGAGAACTGGTATAGTGTTGACAAACCTAGAAACATAATCTGGGCGAAACACGAGTGGGCCACCCGTGCCCCATAGATTTGAGGATTGTTTTCTGTGAGCGAAAGGTTGAGTTATATAAATGTTAAACTATACTTGCCTATCTAATATCATTCACATGTAATTACTTGATCTTGACACATGAAGGCTGACCGCATGTGGTAAAACTTGAATCAAGGCTGAAGAGTAAATATCATGTGCCTCCCTTCCCGTAACTGAATGACACGAAGCGGGGATCCATTTCTTTTAAAACGCATGTGTGACGTTATCCTATTGTTTAAACAACCTATTATTTTCCTATAAAGTACAGTTCGTTGTCAAATATCTATGCCCTCGTCATCTTGAAACCACATGTCATTTAATGCTTTGACTTCAATCTTAAAGAAAATGTATGTCTACATCGACTCGAACCCGCATCGTATGGAGATCATGCGACAGCGATGTGTACACTCTGTGTGAATTTAACTAAATTAAATAATTGCTATAAATATTTTATGATATTATAAGGCTAAAAATGTAATATGAATTGTGTGGTTATAAAACAATGTTACCTAAATCAATATTCATGTTAAAGTAATGTGATAACCCTTTATCAGAAATGTAAAACAACAACAACCTGAAACACATGTATCCTTGTCCCGGGCTCTACATGTCATGTTCTCAAAACGTGCTAGCGATTTATAATATACTGGTTGAGGGCCCCACGAAATTGTAAACCATGTACTGAACAACTTGTGACAGAGAACGTGCGTCAGCAGCATTTAATACATTGCACGCGCATCACACAAGAACGACTCACAAAGTATGAATACAAACTACAATCTGTTGTCATTTATGTTTTGTCAAAGAATAAACATGTCTAAAATTGGAGACATTTGTCGTAACTGTCGGCTCGTGAGAATCCTCGTGTGTTCTCCTTTACGGTGACGGTGGATATACCTTCTCTTCAGTATACAGTGCATGACATTGTCATATTTCCGTACTTCCTCTTAACCCCTTTTCATATTTAGTTTATGCACAAATTGTTCATCATTATTGTGTTTTCCAAAGTTGTTTGACACAAATGCGTGAATGTTATTTATCACAATGTAAATAACCGTGTTGATATCATGAGCAACAGTCAGTCACACCACACGTTGTAAACATCTGATGCCCATTTATTGATTTTATATAAACTACGAGGACATATATTCTGCAACGAAATCGATTAAATGATAAGCAACTAGCAACAGGTTGACACACTGGCATACTACGGGAGACATTGTCACATCAATGTAGAAGGAACATGCATAGGCTGACACATGACTTCACCTGGTTATGGGGAAGTGCACTCGATGAAGCCTTTTCCCAGGGGAATGTATGCATGTTTGACGTGTCACGAGCCATGCATTACATTATATGTAAATATGTGTGTTGCCATGCCTGATCTACTTCTTTCATACAGAAAACCCCAAACAGCAACTATCCTTTTTAAAACGCTTTTTTGTTCATTTTACTAAGCACATATTTGGGCACATCAAATGTCAATAGATAGTTTGTGTGTCATGTGAAACGCATGGTGTCATAAATATCAGTCACATTTGTCCAACAGAATTCACTTCTTGGTGGTTCACAATGAACAGATCTAAATAGAAACGTAATATACTTCCTGGTCTGTGCGCCAGAGTGTCACAATGGCGGTGTGGGCCAGGGTTGTGTTTTGGGTGGCCAGTCTGAGTCTCGCAGCGGGTAAGTTCATTCGTTACCTACATGAGATTAATCACAATATATTTGAGTATCAATTCTCATTAATGAGTTCTACTTTTACACAATCGTTGAGACACGTGTACCGAATGGTATATCAGACAACATTGTCATTGTTGAACTGGTACCTGAAATCACCTTGTGTCATATATTAGGAAAATTATACCAGCGAGTTCTCTCAATATACTCAAATGTCGCCTAATAGACAATTGACATTTTTTTTAAATTTATTTACTGTCACAATATAATCATATCATACATGGTAATGAAGTATGCAATGGTGGTATGTCATCTTAATATGCTGAAATGCTGTATGACATACGATGGCCTCCGAGGTCTCGTGGAAAAGCGTCCGCCCGGAGGTTCTATACCCGGCCGCGTCATACCAAAAGATGAGTCAGTATAGTGTGTCTGAGTGGGGTATTCATGTTAAACAGCCACACACACACACACACACACACACACACACACACACACACACACACACACGCACGCACGCACGCACGCACGCACGCACGCACGCACACACACACACACACACACGCACGCACGCACACACACACACACACACACACGCGTCGTTATTTTGGTACAATAATCTGGCACGCGAGGTTAAACCCCATAACACCTCACCTAGATGACATACGATCAAGTACATTCATTGTATCACTAACGCGACCACTGTGGCCTGACGGGAGCACAGTAGGCGAGATACACACACATTTAGACCCTATCATCACTAGTTAAACACAAATCTAGCTTTTAATGTTTGCTCGCGTCGATAGTGGGAAAGGTTGACTCGCCGCCTCTCGCCACCCGACATTACTTCCTGATTGACTGTCACGGTTGAATCAAAAGGCTTGTTATTGTGTGAATACCAGTCGTGATACTCATTCTCGGATTACCGTCACGCGTGGATACGTCTGTGTTTAGAAATTGAAATGCAAATTTTGTGTGACAAAAGTCACTTCAAAGAACAGGTCACAGGGATTCAACTGGGTATAGATTACCTACTGATCATTCGTGAACTGCTTTGTATCAGGTTTGTAATGGAGACACGCTGACCTGTAAAGATCAATGTGTCTCTATTACAAAAGTCTTCAAACTGGAAAAAACAAGTTTGACGGCTTGTATTATTCAAGTGCAAACGATACAACTGACATTCCGAATTATATAAAGATTACGTTATATCAGGGGCGGATTCATGATTAGGGCAGTGGGGGTGGGGTGCGTGGTGTGCACCCAAAAGCATACAAAAATCACAAACACTATATGTAAACATTTATCTCATTTACTTTATTAACATGGCAATGCATACACAATGTCAAAATGTCATCAGATGTTAAACAAAATGTGTGTGGCCAAAACTCCCCCGACACCTGCCCCCCATTCCTGCCGCGTTATCCCCTGAATCCGACACTGTTATATTGTTATACTATACTTGGGAGAAATATATTGGAACAGTTCCGAGTGCTGTTAACTATTTGTGAAGCAATGTAATTCAGATAAGAAGGAAACAGGACTTTGGTGTCTGATGCATGGTCACAATTTGCATGTTCAATCAATCAATGTTTTATTCCAACAAACCACCATAGGTGGTACAGGAACAATACAAATAAAGTTATAACATAAACAATAAATTGTAGTGATCACTTGGTAAGTTGTAGATTATAGTGTTGTACTCATCTTCTGACAGCATTATTAATAATTCTTATAAATCTGGAGATATTTTTCACGATTAAGCAATTATTTGAGGTACACAAAACCTTGAGCTTTGCGAGATTCGGCCATTTACAAAGATAAATTGGAATATAATGTGATCTCATGGTATCAAAAAAGGAGCATTTAAATAAATAATGAAACTCGTCGGCTATCGCCGGTGAGCTACATAGGTTACAATTTCTATTAATTCTCGGTATATTTTTCCAGCGGCCTGTCTCTACAGGTAAATAATGATTCGATGTCAGAAATGACATAATAGGTCGAGAGAAATAATCAGGTAACAGGAGGTATTTTTCAAACGACGGTAAATCTTTGAACAATTTATAGTAATTACCTTTTGAACTTTTATCTATATCATCCCTCCATTGTTGTATAAAATGATCTTTCAGTACTGTTTCTACCATAGAGACAAGCCACTGTTTACAAACGCAACCAGGATTATCAAATACATATGTCAAGCCACAACTGTTTAAAATACTTTTTATGTGAGATATCCATACGTTACTATTACTAATATTGAGGGTGTGATCTAATTTGAACAGTTTAAGGATGTGTGATGACAACTTGAAAGGAGAAGATATGGTTTCTAAGTTATACCAAAATGAGATCATTCTTTTAGCAATTGTAATGTTCACAGGAAAACGTCCAAGTTCACCGTAAACCATAAAGTTAGGAGTTGATGATCGCAACCCAGTAGCAAACTTTAGAAATTTAAGGTGAAATTTTTCCATGTTTATAACATTTTCACAACCCCATATTTCACATCCATACAAGGCTATAGGTAGTATTAAGATATCAAACAATTGGATTACAGTATCAAGTGCTAGATTGAGGTTTCTTGATTTTTTCAGGAGTGCAAACATGGCCTTTTTAGAGCTAGACAGTAAATCGTTTATTGCGGTATAAAATCTTCTATTGCGATGAAAGTTGATACCTAGATACGTATAATTATCTACAATTTCAATTGGTTTAGAATCAAATTGAAAAGATAATTTAGATTTTTTACCCACGCCTCCTCCAAATTTAATAATCTTAGTTTTGGCAATGTTAACATTGAGTTTCCACACATCGCAGTATTGTTTGAACACATCAAGAGAATTTTGGAGATCTTTCTGGGATTCACCTAAAAGTATCGCATCATCTGCGTACAACAAAATAAAGAATTTAATACACATATACACATAATCATCATGAACACAAGTGATGTCAACGCCCCTACAAACTTTGCTCTCAAGATATACATCTAAATCATTGAGAAAAATCGAAAATAATAATGGAGAGAGATTTTCTCCTTGTCGAACCCAGGAATAACTATAAAAGAAGTTAGAAATTTGGTTATCAACCAAACGCAAGATTTTATATTACTGTACATGTTTTTCACTAACTTGAAGAATCTCCCCTCTATATTGTATGATAACATCTTGTACCATAGGCCTACTCTCCAAATGCTGTCGAACGCTTTTGTGAAATCGATAAAAGCACAAAAAAGTTTTCGTTTTGATTTTTAGAAATACTGATTTAGCATATTTAAGATGAATATATTATCAAGTGTTGACATATTTTCTCGAAAGCCAGCCTGCGATGAGCTAAGAATTTCATTTGATTCTAAGTAACTATTTAATCTGGAATTCAAAAGACAAGTAAATAACTTTCCTAAACAGCTCAGAATGGTAATTGGCCTATAAGAGTTCGGTTCAAGAGAGTCACCTTTTTTCTTATATATTGGGCGAATCATTCCCGTCAACCAAGAGTCAGGGATAACACCAGTGGATAAAATCAAATTAAAAAACGAAACGTAAAGGTCACCCAGAATATCAATTGAATCAATCAAATAATCATTTTCAATTAAGTCAAGGCCTGAGGATTTATTACGCTTCAGTCGCGAGATAGCTGAGCGTATTTCTTCTAAAGTAATATCTCTGTTGAGAGTCGAGTTATCATATGAACAGGGGTTGAGATCTTCTTCTATAACATCATTGTCGCCGAGGTATGAGGCATTAATCGATTTGAAAAAATTATGAAATACTTCTATGTTCGGTGTTAGTGAATTATTATCATTCACCTGTGAATTAAGTGTTTTCCAGAACTCTTTGGGCGAGTGTTTAAATCTATTACGTAACATTATACTTGTTTCATATTTATGATCCCTTATATGCTTATTTAAGCATTTCTTATACAACTTGCCATGATGGCGATACATTGAATAATTTACTTGATTACGAACTTTTTTGAAACGACGTTTCGATTTACGGTAAAGCCGTCTAATGTCCCGACATTCCTTACTGAACCAGGGCTTATTCGTCTTGACGCGCTTACGTGTATTACCGGGAGATGTAGTTCGTTTGACTCCGAAGGTAGTCCGTGCGGCATCGACCAGCACGTGCGTTATGTCCTCAGCTAACCTATTGACCTCAGTATCAACATCAACATCAAAACTGTCATAACAAACAGCATCACTTCTATCTCGCAACTGCCTTATAACTTCTACATCAATGTTATTTCGGAATACACTAGCCCTATCAATATTGTAGCGTCTAGGCCTGTTTCCGGTATTAGTTTTTGAAGAATTTAAAGTCTCAGAGACAGATTCATCTCTTTTTTTAACCTTACTTGCCAGCGATAGGGTAACAGGGCAGTGTACATCTGATAGCACAGGTGAGAAATCAAGAACATCAACATCATTAATCAAAGGCATACAAGCAGCAGAGACAATGACGTAATCAATTAAACTCTTATCATTACAGGTGGTTCTTCCAATATTGAGATCATTACCTATTCGGCCATTGCATATGTATAAATTAAGGCTCCTACACAAGTCAATAAACTGTTTACCATAATTGTTAATTTTACCCATGTCCATACTATGCCTATGTTTTGGCATACGAGCGTTTTCCAATACTACATCTGGATCAAGGTCATTACTAATTTCATCACAGTCTAAACCAAATTCCTCTAAAACAAAATGATCAATAACAGTATAATCATTGATAGTTGACGTTCTCGCATTAAAGTCACCGAGTAACATGACATAATCTGTGCGTGTCAGGGCCTGCAAAACCGACTGTTCTACCTGATAAAACACATCATCTGGAGCATATTTCGATCCTTCAGGTGGGATATAAACTACCCCAGCTTCCATATCCTGTGGGATGTTGAGCAGAGTCTTTGAGATTCTGAACCAGAGAATGTTGTCATGTTCAGCGTGTAATAACGTTATATATTGCACAACAGTATTTCTTACTGCAAGCGCAATGCCACCAGAA